TTCTTTTACTGTGAGGTGAGTACATGGTTTTAATTTAAATACTTTAAGATACAAAATATGAGTCATTCCCTGTCATAGTTCATGACATAAAAAGTTACTTAAGACTTCTTTGTTATGAAGCTGGCCTTGCTTTGTAGGCTATAGTGTAATTCAACAGGATGGAGCCCGTCTACCTGCTGGATGCTAATTACACTAATGAGTTGATTGTTATACATTGGATTCTTCCTCAGGACCCACTGTGTTTTAAGAACTGTAACTTTCTTTTTCTACAAGATGAGTTCAGAAGCAATCTCATTTTCACCCTACTCCTTGTATAAGAATGGAAACTTTTAATTTTTCAGTAAGTTAGTTTCTTAGTCAAGGAATAAATTTCATGTCTGTTACTGCCTGAGATGCTATGTAGTCTTAGTCTCTAACTACTCCCTGGTTTTGGGAGTTGCTGCTCTTTCCTGTCCTTCATGCTTACATGTCAAGACTGCAAGGGCATCTGACAAACTTTTAAAAATGTAGCATGAAACATGTATATGGATGTGCATCTGTAGGCATACACACACCCAGTCTATGTCCTGCTGCATATATAGAGGAAACTTAAGAGCAGTGGTTAAAGATGCCTGGCTTTGGAGTCAGGCTCCTGGGAGTTCAAATCCAAGCTCCACCCTCTTTGTGTGACCTCTGGCAGGTTATCTTTTTGTGCCTCTTTTCTCATCTAGTAAAAAAGGGATGGGGGTAATAATAGTACAGTTGACTCTTCAGAGTTGTACTAAATGACTTTTCATAAGTTAAACACCTATAAGAGTGTCTGGCATGGTAAATGCAGTAAAAAAAATAGATGACAGATAATGAGTATATTTTTGTATGCATATATGAACGTGCACACTTTCTGTGAATTCATCTAATGTCTGTTTCAGAGCAGAAGGGAGATTTAGAGGAAACAGGTGTGTCACATAGTTTTATATCACTTGTAAAAGTTTTTTGTTTCAGGCTCCTTTGATGTTATGTAGTGTATTGGTTTATGTGATTTTAAAACCACTTGCTTATGACTTACATGAAGTTGTTTTAATTCACTTGTTTATGGCAAAGAAAAAAGTCGCTTTGATAGGAGAATAAAGTAAGTTGTGCCAGAATGTCATCATTCTACATCTTAATCATCGATAAGCACTCAGCAGCCCAGCTGCTGAGGGGCCCTGCTGGGGGCTTATCAATAAGAACATAGGGAGAAGCCAGTGTGGCAAGGGGACCTTTAGAGTATAAATACTGAGTTTGTGGGGACTATTTGAGGTTTAGTTTGGGTAGGGCGACTGTTAGTTTGCTAACCTAAAGACTTTCTGAAGTTCTTTGGGGCATTTGCTCCTGGACTGGGGAGATACTCCTCAAAGACATTGTGGATAAACCCACATTGGCCTGGTGAGTGATCAGACTGCCTGTGGGCACTGGCATCTTTGCACCCTAGCAACCCGCTCTAGCAATAGGGATCTTGTACTCGAGCACTGGCAGCTGGGAAATCAGTCCTTTGGTTGGTGGTTGCTGACTGTCCAAGTGCCTCCTCCTTGTATACAAGATACACCTCATATGAAATTTAGACTTCATTCCTTCACGTCCCCTTACCTGGAAAAACAGTGTAATTAATCCGGCATTTGCTTGGAATGTTATTTTCTCTATTTAGTTTTATTAAGAGATATTATCCTATAGCCTATTGACTTGTGAAATTATGATTCCCACATCAAACCCGTGCTAAATTAGTTGTTGGCAAAGATAAAAAATAGTTTCTGGAGCATAATTTTGCTACCTCTCCAAAACAAAACAAAACAAAACAAAACCTCAAAACATACCATTATTATAATTGTTTGAAATATTCTGCTTAGTACATACGGTAAATGAAAAGTAATTTTACTTTATACAAGTACTGTTTTTCTCTTTAAAAAACAGTTAAAGCAAACAATACTTTCTGGGTTTCCTTGAGAAGAGAGAAGGAAGGTTGGGAGGGATGAATCCTAACTCTGCTCAGTGGAGCCACACACAAAGACAGGAAGGAACAGGTCTCTGGCCAAGAGAGCTCAAGCGGTGATGCCCACACTGATCTGCCTCTAGAAGGGGGCCTCAAACTATAGACTAAAAAGTTTTTTCCTGTTTTTCAGGTACAGGTCAGAAAACCATTTTTTTTTATCCCATGACAAAATATCTGGCTTTAGTAAATAACTTAAAGCTCCTAACTTAATAGTCCTCCTGGTTAAGAGCACATTTTGGAAGCCATGTGGAGTTGTATCCCAAATATATCAGTTTACTAGCTGTGTGATTTCAGATTACTCTTACTTTCTAGGTCCCTGTTTCCTCATCTCAAAAGGGGCAAAATAACTTAATCCCGCAGAATTATTGGGGAGCTGCTTTGCAGAGGTTGAGGCCCTTCTTTTCTCCTTCCTAACAAGTGCACTTTTTTTTTTACATTAAGCAAACATACAAAAGACCTGAATAATTTAAAAAGAGAGGGTCAGATACTTTAAAAACATAACTCCAAAAATTATAATATGGACAATCATCCGCAATTTCATCAGAGGGAAGAGTATCTTAACAAAAAACATTGTTTTTTGGTCAAATTTCAATTTTAGAACTTTTTTCTTTTGTTTTTCAAAGCTAATATATATTTTAAAGATTTTATTTATTTATTTTTAGAGAGAGGGGAAGGAAGGGAGATAGAGAGGAAGAGAGACATTGATGGGTTGCCTCTAACAGCCCCCAACTGTGGACCTGGCCTGCAACTCAGGCATGTGCCCTGACCAGGAATTGAACTGGCAGCCTTTAGTTTTGTGGGATGACGCCCAACCCACTGAGCCACGCTGGTCAAGGCTCAAAGCTAATATTATCAAACGTTTACCAAATGCTGAAGAATTGGAAATATTTTTGTTTTGGCTTAATTGTAGTATTTGCACTTTTCATGGCTTAGATGGCTTAGTTTATAAAAGGCATGTTTAGTTAAGTGTTAACACTATTTGAGTTATAAAACACATTGTCTAGGACTCACTGGAAGAGAAAAAAGAAGTTTGGAAAATGACACAGTAACACATTCTACCAGGTAATGTTATATTAAAAAAACAAGAACCCCTAGAAATGGCTGCAAACCAAAATATTCCTTTACTATTTTCCATTAGTTAAAAACTTAGAAGAATATTATAGTCACTTCCATAGCAAGTGGTGCAAAACAGGTGATACAAGGTATGACTATTGTGATAATCCTTCAAGTATAGAGTCAGGAGATATTGTAGGTAGTTCTTAAGTATTCAATCAGATGTTAAACTTCCAGATGGAATTGATAGGACTTTCCTCTAGAGCAACTGGCAGGGGCAGGAGCCTGTTAACCTCACTTCTCTTACCAAGACTCCTTGGAATCCAGTTACATGATTTTATAGTAAGACGTGAACTCAGATGAAAATGCCAGGGCTAGAATCCAGTGTTCTTTCTATGAGCACTAGCCAGGCGGAAGCCAAGTATGAAAAACAGCATACAGATTTAGGGTTTAGGGAGTGAGGTCATTTTTGGAAGCCAGAAGGGAGAAATCAAAGGGCTGGAACTCAGGCTTCAATATGCTTAAAATAAGGCTCTTTTTACTGACAGGATTAGTATTACTAATCTTTTCCTTTTGCCCCAGGCACTAACATGGCTTAACTGAGACTTTTTTTTTAAATTGATTTTAGAGAGAAAGAGGAACACAAAGGGAGAGAAACATTCATTGGTTGATATTTGTATGTGCTCTGACCAGGAATTGAACCCTCAACCTTGGAGTATCAGGATGATGTTCTAACCATCTGAGTTATCTGGCCAGGGTGGATCCTGTCTTTTTCCTAAAAGTCTGTTATTTTGTTCATCATGCTTCTTTTTAGTATTAACTTTTTTTTTCAAAAATGGTGTAAAAATATTACTAATCTTGATTACTAAGGCTTTTGGCACACCCTTAAATTTGGTAGCTATTCATTCTGGCCCTGCAAAGGAGAGTAAAAATGATGTAAGAATGGGACCAAACACTGATTTCAGAGTTTGGAAAAAAATGAGCCAAGAAAGAAGGGATCAACATTTATGATTGTTCTTTGGTCTACCACTCCATCTGTTCTACTTCACTGACCCACTCCACATCCCCAAGTTGGGGTGGCATTATTATTTCTATCCCCCTAACCATCTTGGTTATACTGTGTAAAATCTCTTTTGTATTCTGAAAATATTTGAAATTACAAAAAACCTATGCTAGAAAAGAAAACAAATACCAAATCAGACATGGTTAAGTTTTAAGTACACATATTTGACATTCCTCTGGTCTGCTGCTCTACCTTGCCAGTGAAGATGGTTCCATTGTCATGGTCTTCTTTTGGTATGCCACTTTCAGCATATATGCCACTGGTTGTCGAGTTTTTATAGATTTTGATAAACCCCTTACTCTGATAATCTAGAATTACGTAAAAGATATGCTGTAGCAGGGTACACAAGTATAGACAGCAAGGAGATTCAGGCTGAAATGCTTCAATTAAAAGGAACAACCCATGGCATAGAGACAAGTGTCAGGGAAATTTCTATTATACTGCACTCAGTACTCTGAGCATTTCTTATACAAATTAAGGACAGCTAGATAATCAAATCCCTGAGTGTTCCATTGAACAATTATTCAAGTGGTATGATCAGAAATGTGTAACTATTCAATTACTCTACAATGGTATGGCTGGATTTTAACATTCTGTGAATGTGAGAATTTGTACTTGAAAAGTAGACTTGTACTCATTGAGATGTATCTAAACTATATATTGTTTCTCTTTTCTTTTGTATAAAATATATAAACATATCAACACATATCAACAAGTATGTGTTTTAAACATAAGTGATAATAACTTATGTTTCTACTGAAATGCATTTGTGTAAAAGAATTATAATTTACCCAGAAAATCATTTAGAATTCCCCAATATCCAATTGAAATAATGAAGTAACACATTTTATAAAACATCTTTTGTTTGTATGTAAATTTAATTGCATTGCTTTATATAAAACACCTTTGATTCTGAAAGACACCACTAATGAGCTATGAATGGGAGACAAACTCCATGATGTCAGAATATCTCTATCAAATTCTTTATATATCACTCCCAAACTTTTATTTTTGCAAAATAAGGGTCAATGGTTTATGGCTTCTACTCTTTCACAATGTAAAACTTTTAGTCAGGGTATGAATTTGTAAATTTTATATCAGGAATTAACTTACAGTAAAATAATGTAAGCTTTATGACACTGAGCTAAACAGTTTTTCAATAAATACAAATTAAGAGCATATTTAACAACTTGGGAGCACCTAATTATCAATACAATTTAGATTTAAACAGGATAGTTTCCTTCTTGGGTAATCCTTCATATCCTTAAATTCCTCCTGATTTTTTAAACAAGTCTTGCCACCGTGGGTTCAACAGCACTTAAACAGAGCCCAGCAGAATGGTGAACACTCATATATCAGATAGAGATCTTGACCAGCTTAAGATTTCATTGACACAACACACACACACGCGCACGCTATCCCCCAAAATATAAAGTTTACTTAGAAAGTTACAGAGGTAGTAGTAGTGAGCCAGCTGGGCTGTGTAGACTCAGGAAGCAAGTTACAGAGGCAAAAGAAGGATCCTTGGAGCTTCTGAGAGAAGGCAAAGGTAATGAATGGGGGTGGGGTGGGAGGGGACAGTATGGGGAAGGGAAAGGTGCTCCTGAGAGAGTGCTCAGGAAAGGGGGAGAAGGCGCAGGCATTCTCCCAAGAGGGGCAGTGATGGCATAGCTGTATTTTAAATGTCAACTTTACGTGGGCCTTTCTAAGAAACCATGCACATGAATCAAGGACGTGAAACAGAACTTCAAAGAAACTCAAATGTTGGCTTCTTGTAATTACATGATGAGAAAAAGATTCAGAAATGAACATTTCAGTTTTAAAATAAAATGAGCTACAATTAGTATTTCAAACTTCTTTTACAACTTTAAATGCTTATTATTCAAAATAAAAATACTTTCATAAACATTAAAGCCTATAATATAAAATTGGTAGCAATTAATAACCTCTTTCTTAGTCTTTCTATATAAATAATCAATGAACCAATTATTTTCTCTCAACTCTGCAAAGCCAAATAGTCATTGACATTGATTCCAGATGTAGCATTTTTTAAAATAACTACTCATACATAAATTTATTTTAATATTTTTAAGAATTATAGGAATAGGAAAGAAAAATGTTTAATTTTTGTACTTTTCACCATTATAGAGTTCTAAGACATTACAACGTATTTTTCTTTTCAACCCACATAAGAATTATAATGTACAGAAAAGATGAGAGATTTTTGTTATGCAGGTAAATAACTGTGCTTCAAACTGTCATTGCTTTTGAATTTGTTATTTTCCCTTTGGAAAGAAAACAAGAAGAGAATCCTGTGAAACTAATGACATCCCAGGTGCTTTCAAACGATTCCTTTTCAAACAGGAACTTCTAAGCAAGCACACCGTTTTGTGGGTGAGTGGGTATCTTTCCTTGGCTCCTCCTCTTCTTCATCTGGCAGACAGGGTGAAGTTTAGCAAGAGACAATCTATATTTGAAAGGCAAAGGAGAAAGAACATATCCATCAGATCAATTTACCCATGCTTAATTTTTAAAATAGACAATGAGTTACGAAAATTTCATAATTTCAATCGAATAAAGTACAAAAACACATGATAATCTCAGTAGATACAGAGAAAACAGTTAACAAAACCGAACACTCTTCTTTCATGATAAAAACACTCACCCACTAGGAATAGAAGGGAACTCCTTCAACTTGATAAAGATACCTCTACAAAGACCCATAGCTAGCACCACAATGGTGAAAGACAGAACACTTTCCATCTAAGATAAGGAATGAAACAAGGATGTCTATTCTCACCACTTCAACTGAACATTGTACTATAGGTTCTAGTTAAGGCAATTAGGCAAGGAAAAGAAATAAAATATATCCAGCTTAGAAAGGAAGAAAATAGTAAACCTCTATTTGCATATAACCTATGCTTATATAGAGCAAATCCTATGGAGCCTACTAATCAATCAATGTTTTCATTAAGGTTACAAGTTATAAGATCAATAACCAAAATTTAACTAAATACCTATACATTAGTAGTTAACAATTCAGAATTAAAGAAAATTTTATTTATAGGCCCTGGCCAGGTAGCTAAGTAGGTTGGAGTATCATCCTGATAAGCCAAGGCTGTGGGTTTGATCCCCAGTCAGAGCACATACAGGAAGCAATCAATGGATGAATAAATAAGTGGAACAACAAATCAATGTTTCTCCTTTCCCTCCCCCCATCAAAAATCAATTTAAAAAATTTTCATTTATAATACCAGCAAAAGAACAAAATACTTAGGAATAAATTAAACAAAAGAAGTATAAAACTTTTATTCAAAAAATTATAAAATGTTGAAAGAAATTAAAGTAGATATGGATAAATGGAAATACAGCTGTTGTTCACGGATTGGAAAACTTAAACTTAATAGTCCACATGGTGATGTTTCTCATATTGATCTACAGAGTCAACACGACACCTATCCAAATCACAGCTGGCTCTTTGCAGACCCTGACAAGATGATTTTAAAATTTATATGGAAATTCAAGGGAACCAGAATAATCAAAATAATCTCAAAGAACTACAAAGTCGGAGGATTCACAGTCTTAGTTGAAAACTTGCTATAATGCTGCAATCATCAAGACATTAGAGTATTAGCACAAGGTTTGACATATGGATCAATAAAATAGAACTGAGAGTCCGGAAACAACCCCTCACATTTATGTCGATTGATTTTCAACAATAGTGCCGACATAATTCAATAGGGGAGAGAATAGTGTTTTCAACAAATGATGCTAGATATCTAAACTAAGTACATGCAAAAGAAGTCGGACCACTTTCTCACACCATATGCAAAATTTAACTCAAAATGGATCATAAATGTAAGTGATACAACTCTTAGAGGAAAACATAGGTGTAAATATTTATGACCTTAGATTAGCCAATGTTTTTTTTCCTTTAAAGATTTTATTTATTTACTTTTAGAAAGAGGGGAAGGGAGGGAGAAAGAGAGGGAGAGAAACAGATGTGTGAGAGAGACATAGATCTGCTGCCTCTCATAGGCCCCCTAACTGGGGAGCTGGCTGGCATCCCAGGCGTGTTCCCTGACTGGGAATCGACTGGCGACCTTTTGGTTCGCAGGCCAGTGCTTAGTCCATTGAGCCACACCAACCAGGGCAGTCAATGGTTTTTAGTAGGACACCTAAACTAAAATAAACCAAAGAAAAAATGGGCATATTTGATTTTAACAAAACTGAAAGCTTTGGTGCTCAAAGGACAACACCAAGAAAGTGAAAACCCACAGAATGGAAGAAAATATTTGCAAACCTGTACTTGATAAGAGTTGTGTATTCAAAATATATAAAGAACTCTAACAACTCAACAATAAAAAAACATAAGCCAATTGAAAAGTGAGCAAAGGATTTGAATAGATATTTCTTCAAAGATAGACGAATGGCCAGTAAATACATAAAAAAGATGCTCAACATCATTAGACATTAGGGAAATGCAAATCAAATTCACAATGAGATACCAATTCACACCCTCTAGGATGGCTATAACAAAAAGTGTTGGTGAGGATATGGAGAAATTGGAACCCTTCTATACTGCTGGTAGGAATACAGTAAATATGATAAAATGCTGCAACCACTGTGGAAAACAATTTGGCAGTTCCTCAAATTAAACATAGAAAAACCACATAATCTAGGAATTTCACTCTTGGCCTGTATGTCCAAGAGAATTGAGAACATGTTCAAACAGAAACTTTCACATAACTATTCAGACTAAAATTGTTCTTAATAGCTAAATAGTGGGAACAATAGAGGATGGATAAACAAAAAGTGATTTTTCTATATTTTATTAAGTCATTAAAAAAGAATTATGTACTGATCCATGCTGCTACATGAATGGGCCTTGAAAACATTAAGCTAAGTGAGAGCCAATCAATCATACACGCACAAAAAAATCATAAGAATCTATACAAAATGTCCAAAATAAATAAATCTATAGGTAGAAACAAAGTTAGTAGGATTAGAAAGTTCAGTGAAATTGAGAGTACGTGCTCCTGGGTATGGGTATTTCTTTATGAGATGAAGAACATGTTCTAATATTGATTATGGTGATGGTTGCGCAACTACTTGAATGTAGTCAAAACCATTGAACTGTACACCTTAAATGAGTAAATTACATGATATGTGAATTATATCTCAAAAAATTTAAAAATATGCATGCCTCAGTGATTCTTACTTGTACACTAAGTGTACAAGTGTTCAAAGATGCATGCATATGTGTTCATTGCACCATTGTTCAAAATAACATAAAACATATGTATTCATCAAGAGTCAAGTCAAAAGCCCTGGCTGGCGTAGCTCAGTGGATTGAGCGTGGGCTGGGAACCAAAGTGTCCCAGGTTCGATTCCCAGTCAGGGCACATGCCTGGGTTGCAGGCCATAACCCCCAGCAACCGCACATTGATGTCTCCCTCCCTCCCTCCCTCTCTCTCTCTCTCTCTCTCTCCCTCTCTCCCTCTCTCTCTCTCTCTCTCTCTCTCTCCCTCTCTCCCTCTCTCTCTCTCTCTCTCTCCCTCACCCCGCCCCCCTTCCCTCCCTGAAAATGGATGAATAAAATCTTAAAAAAAAAAGTCAAGTCAAATAAATTAAGATTATCTATACAATGAAATTCCAGTCATTCAAAACAATTGTCTGCATATCCTCAAATAAATACCTCTAAGTTTAGTGGCCTATAAAGAGGCAAGATAATAAATGTATTCCACATGATGTTTACATATGTATATATATGTCCACATACATACATAATTTTTATATATACAAAAGGTACTGTTTGAGAAAAAATGAGAAGTGTAAAGTTGAAAGTTCTAACACAATTTCAATATAATGTAATGTAAAACCTAAAAAACTCCATAGTCCCCTCCCCAAATTACTGGGGCCAGTGTAATGAGAGAAGTTGTATGTGGTACACACACACACACACCAAAAGAAGTGACATTTACTCAGTCTTGATTGAGTAGGAATAAACTAGGTAAAGATAAGAAAGAGAACCTCCTAGATTCTGGGCTGAGAAAATAATGTGTGAAAGTCTTGAAAAGAAACAGGACTCCTTTGATAAACTCTCATAGCCACAGTGAGTCAGATAGGGCTGGAAAGGAGAGAAGTGCTTGACTGTGCAATTTTATAATAACATTAAGAATTTAATTTTTATCCTAAGTGTAATGAGAAACCACTAAAGGGCCTCAGGTAGGATGAAGCTACAATATGAAGAATGGATAAAGGAGAAGCAAAAATGGATGTGAGGTGGTTAGTGCAACGTAAACAGTAGTTAAGTTTGGGTGCTGTGAACTAGAGATGAAATAAGTTTGGAGCTGGGAGACTGAATATACAAATGGACAATGGCCAGACCATACATTAAAATAGAACCCTGACCCACAAACTCTAACAACCTGCTCAGGAAACCAAACCGTAACCTCTGCAGCAATTGGTATCAAATGGTCAGGATCTGGTCAGTAATGGCCAGCTTTCCTAATTCCTAATACTTGCCCCTCCTTTCACCTGAAGTGGGGAATGGGTTCCTAGAGGAATGGTCATGCCTTCCATGGCACCAAGAGACAAGAAGAGGATAGGAGCGGGCAGGATAAGAAGTGGGTTAGATGAGATTCTAGTTTGGTACTTGGAAGTTGAGGTAAGTACCACCTGATGACTTTTTCTCCCCTTGATATAAGAGACAAAGTCATCTGCTGAGAATGAAAGAAAGGTCTGAAATTTGAGGTGAGCCAAAACAGTTAGAAATAAGTCCTGGCTGGTGTAGCTCAGTGGATTGAGCACGGGCCAGTGAACTGAAGTGTTGCTGGTTCGATTCCCAGCCAGGGCACATGCCTGGGTTGCAGGCCAGGCCCCCAAGTGGGGCATGCGAGGGGCAACAGCACATTGATGTTTCTCTCCCTCTTTTTCTTCTTCCCTTCCCCTCTCTCTGAAAAATAAATAAATAAATTCTTAAAGAAAAAAGAAACAATTACTATGGAATACAAGGCAGCAAGCTGACTATAGGAATGTAGTAGGTTTGCTGGGCACTGTGAAGAACTGAAATTGTAGATAAGAATTTAAAAGTGGTTCCAACCCTGGCTGGATAGCTCATTTGGTTTGAATGTCATCTCCATATGCCAAGGTTGTGGGTTCAGTCTCTGGTCAGGGCACATACAAGAAGCAACCAATGATGGCACACAATAAGTGGAACAACAAATCAGTGTTTCTCTCTCTTTCCACCCCTCCCTCTCTGACTCTCTCAAAAATCAAATTAAAAAAATGATTTCAGTTGGACTTCTTGTGTATTCTTCAGTAGCAATAACATACTTGGATGAAGACTTTATGATTCTTCTAGAATAATGAGATGAAGATGACAGCAGCAAGGACACTTGTAATACTGGCAGCAATTAGGGAGAGGATGAATTCTAGAATCTTAGCTGGAGAGAAGGGAGACTA